CTCACACGCCAGCACTTTTACTAAAACGGCACGGTCAAGTGTAAGGGCATACCCACTGAATAGCCAAAATCGACACAGAATCACCTGCTGGTGCGGCATAAATTTCTATTGGAGGGTTCTCTTCCGTGCGACGAGCTCCTCGTCGCGATGAGGCCCTCCGATCTTCGTCGTTGGTGCGATGGCTCCTCAGTCGACCACGCCAAATAGCGCCTGCACCAAGTAATGAGTTAGGCGCATCATACGCCAAGTCAGAGTTAGAACATAGAATTACCTGCTGCGGCGGTATCAATTTCCATTTGAGAGTCCGGTTCAGCGCGATGAGGACTCCTTCGCGGGGAGACACTCTGAGGTTCGCCGATGGTGCGACGTCTCCTCAGTCGCCCACGCCAAAAATTGTCTAAGCCATGATAAAAAGTTAGGCGCATTGTTCGCGAGTCAGATCAGTCAACATAGGATCACCTGCTGCAGCGGTATCAATTTCTATTGGGATGTCCGTTTCCATGTGATGAGGTGCTCTTTGTGGAGCGACACTCAGTGGTTCGCCGTTGGTGCGACGGCTCCTCAGTCGACCACGCCAGGATTGCGCCTCCATTCCCTTCGATTATCGAGACCTTAATTTTTGAACGGTGTCGTAACTTCAAAATTCCCCAGATCCCATCCTTCTATCCCTTCTGCCCTTTTGGCCACCTCTCTGCTCTTCAGTGCAAAAAATGAACTTATTTCTGTGAAAAACATTTTTGATTGGTTGCCGTGCACACTGTGTCCGTACGGCACTGTCGTAACGATTGGAAGCATCCCTTCTATCCCTTCTGCCCTTTTGGCCACCTCTCTGATCTTCAATGCAAAAAATGAACTTATTTCTGTGAATAACTTTTGGTGGGTGCAGTGCACACTGTTTCCTACAGCGGCACTGTCGTAACGATTGGAAGCATCCCTTCTATCCCTTCTGCCCTTTTGGCCACCTCTCTGATCTTCAATGCAAAAAATAAACTTATTTCTGTGAAAAACTTTTTTGGTGGACTGCAGTGCACACTGTTTCCGTGCAGCACTGTCGTAACGATTGGAAGCATCCCTTCTATCCCTTCTGCCCTTTTGGCCACCTCTCTGATCTTCAATGCAAAAAATGAACTTATTTCTGTGAATAACTTTTTTGGTGGACTGCAGTGCACACTGTTTCCGTGCAGCACTGTCGTAACGATTGGAAGCATCCCTTCTATCCCTTCTGCCCTTTTGGCCACCTCTCTGATCTTCAATGCAAAAAATGAAACTTATTTCTGTGAAAACATTCTTCAATGCAAAAAATAACTTATTTCTGTGAAAAACTTTTTGTTGGTGCAGTGCACACTGTTTCCGTGCAGCACTGTCGTAACGATTGGAAGCATCCCTTCTATCCCTTCTGCCCTTTTGGCCACCTCTCTGATCTTCAATGCAAAAAATGAACTTATTTCTGTGAAAAACTTTTTTGGTGGGCTGCAGTGCACACTGTTTCCGTGCAGCACTGTCGTAACGATTGGAAGCATCCCTTCTATCCCTTCTGCCCTTTTGGCCACCTCTCTGATCTTCAATGCAAAAAATGAACTTATTTCTGTGAAAAACTTTTTTGGTGGGCTGCAGTGCACACTGTTTCCGTACAGCACTGTCGTAACGATTGGAAGCATCCCTTCTATCCCTTCTGCCCTTTTGGCCACCTCTCTGATCTTCAATGCAAAAAATGAACTTATTTCTGTGAAAAACTTTTTTGGTGGGCTGCAGTGCACACTGTGTCCGTACAGCACTGTCGTAACGATTGGAAGCATCCCTTCTAGCCCTATTGGCCGCCTATCTGCTCTTCAGTGCAAAAAATGAACTTATTTCTGTGAATAACTTTTTTGGTGGGCTGCAGTGCACACTGTGTCCGTACAGCACTGTCGTAACGATTGGAAGCATCCCTTCTAGCCCTATTGGCCACCTATCTGCTCTTCAATGCAAAAAATGAACTTATTTCTGTGAATAACTTTTTTGGTGGGCTGCAGTGCACACAGTTTTCATACAGCACTGTCGTAACGATTGGAAGCATCCCTTCTAGCCCTATTGGCCACCTATCTGCTCTTCAATG